AGCTACATTCCCAATGAGACTAAGCCAGCTGGTCAGTGTCTTGAGAAATATAATGTACTTGAACTAGAGTGTTACTGGTAAGGTATACGGGTCATAAAGTATAAAAATATATTTTTTATATAAAAAATTAAATACAGAAAAATTAAATTGGCCACTAGGTGATACTGTAAGTAATAACAATGTCCATTTATTGTTGATAGAATATGGATATTTACACATTAAGTGGGCAAAGTCCAACAGGTTAGGGACAAAGTTTACAAAGAGGGGTGAGATAAAATTCAAGGGGTGGAGCCTAGCGCCTCACTATCTAAAAACTTCACCAGTCACCATTGTGTCCTGAGAAAAGGAATCTCCACACTCCAGCTTCCAGATAGACAGATTAATTTATAAGTCCCTCTCATTTTGGGCAGCACTGTCCTGGCAAGTCAATAGCAGGCAAATTCATGAACTCACAAGGTATTACTGAATAAAAGCTTGTTTGAGCAGGTCCTGTTCAACCTATCTTTCCTGTAAGTTTTCTTGTAATTGTCCTATTTATAGTTAAATTCCCCCTCTCATAATATTGTAAAGCGCTAGGGAATCTGTTGGCGCTATATAAATGGCAGTAATAATAATAATAATAAATGACACTACCATAGGACTTTTCCAATGATGTCAAAAGTTCTATCCCCCTTAAATACCTCTCTATAACACTTGGTGATGTCATCACGGGGGGAGGGGACCTCGAAATTAGATACAGGGACAACTAAGCATTAGCAGGGGAGGGCTGGCAGCCTTAGGCCTGGGGGGCAAAACCAGTCAAGTGGCCCATTGCACTACCAAATCAGTGCAATGGTGCCCACCTTTTCCTGGTTTTATAACGGATATTTATGTTATGCTAATCAGTAGCTCTTTGCCATACCCGCTCCTTCACGGCTCTGACTTTCAATGTTGTCAGAGCGCAGGCTGAGAATCTCTGAGCCTGTGCTCTGACTCACTAACTGAGCGTCAGAACCATGAGGGAGAGGCTATAATCTGACTGCACCTACTGCTGGTGCGCACCAGTGGACCACCAGCGAATCGTTTAAATTGAATATGCTGGTGTCCCCAACTTGTGAGCTGTGTTGTCCGCCGGGCGCCTCTGTTGCAGGGGCGGACTGACCGGTCGGGCACTTCGGACACGGTCCGAGGGCCCGGCCGGGAGGGGGGCCCGCCGCCAGGGCCGCCTTCAGGGGACCCGGCGGCAGGGCTGGATTGGGGGCGGCATTTGGGGACTGCAGGTGCCACCGGGTGGCCGGTCCGGTGGCACACTGTGAGGGGGGGCGGCCGTTTCACACTGTGAGGGGGGGCATTCCTCTGACTAACGCTGAAGGAGGAGGAGGAGGAGGAGCATGTGTCTGTCATGCTCCCTGCGGTTCCCACAATTCCCAGCACAGGATGACAGACACATGCTCTTCCTCCTCCTCCTCCTTCAGTGTTAGTCAGAGGAATGCCGCCGGACCGGCGAGGCTGCTACCCGGTCCGGCGGCTGCAGCAAGCGGCGGCCTCGGCTTGAGTATTGGGGATAGAAGATATAGGGGAAGAGAAGAGATATAGGGAAGGGAGAGAAAAGGGAATGTAGGGAGGGGAGAGGTACAGGAATATAGGAGGGGAGAAAAGGGGAAAAGAATATAGGGGAGAGGGAGGGAGAAAAGAGATATGGAAAGAGGAGAACAGGAATATATGGAAAGAGAACAGAGATATGGGGAGGGGGGAGACAGACAGAGAGGGAAGAATGAGACACGGGGAGAAACGGGGAATAGAGAGATAGGGAGGGGGAGAAAGAGACACAGGGGGAGAAAGAGATGGGGAGGGGGAGAAAGAGACAGAGAGGAAGAGAGATGTGGGGGAGAGACAGGGAAAGGGGGGAGAAAAACAGTGGAAGAGAAGGAGAAAGAGGCAGAGGGGTAAGAGAGACTGGGAAGGAGGGGGGAGAAAGAAACATACAGAGGGACGGGGGGAGACAAAAAGGCACACAGAAGGGCTGTATATATATCACTGGTGTATCCAGGGGGGCAACAGGGCAATTGCTCCCCCTCCCCTGTCCGCAGGCACCGTGCGGGCAGGGGAGGAAGGAAGAGAGGACCTGGGAGCTCACCCTGCAGCTCCTCTGGGTCCTTCTTGCACGAGCACAGAGCGTTGCCGCGATTACCATGGCAACATTACCGCTCTTGCGAGAGTCAACTCTGGAGCTACGGTCTAGTGTTCACTCTCAACACTGTGACCCCCAGGGATTCCTGGTGGTCGCAGTGGTGAGAGTGAACTCTAGCCCCATAAACACACTGCCCCCACACACACACCATACACATTCACACACTGCCCCATACACACCATACACATTTACACACATTGCCTCACACACACACATACACTGCCCACCCATATACACATAGACCCCCATACACAGCCCCCCATACTAACATTGCCACACACGTACACAGCCCACACACCCTACACATTCACACACTACACCCCCCACACACACTGAACCTTTCACACACATTGCACCACTGCTCATATTCCCTACTACAGCCCCATATCCCAGCAGATCCCAGGTAAGTTGTCAAACTGTTCTTAAATGGTTTGACTACTTACTCTGGATCAGTAGTGGTTATTGCGCATGGATTATTTATTTAAATAATCTACAAGTGCCCCAGTAGCCAGCCAGCCAACCCACAGGCTGGCCAGTAGCCAGCCAGTTAGCCAGCCCACAGGCCAGTAGCCAGCCCACAGGCCAGTAGCCAGCCCACAGGCCTACAGCAAGCCACAGGCTTACAGCCAGCAAGCCCACAGCCTGCCAGTCGCAGCCAGCAAGCCCACAGCCTGCCAGTCGCAGCCAGCAAGCCCACAGCCTGCCAGCCGCAGTCAGCAAGCCCACAGCCTGCCGGCAGTAGCCAGCAAGCCCACAGCCTGCCAGCCGCAGCCAGCAAGCCCACAGACTGCCAACCAGCAACAGTAATTAAGGTAAGAGGAGCCAACTTGGCTTAGGTATCAGCGAGCTATGTTGTGTTGCTATATTGTGAATAGGAACCAGAGTGTTGGAGAGACCACCCTCCAGGCCCCATTAGACTCCATTGTAGTCTCTAATGGGGCTTGGAGGGGATTCTTTCTAACACACTCTCTAAAGGACACTGAGATAGCCTCCGCTAGAAAGACCCCCCTCTATGGCCCATTAGCCCTCAATTGTAGTCTCTACTGGGGCCTCGAAGGACTTATTGCCCTTTTGTTCCTTGTGTCTAAAGATTGTGTAGGGTGTGGCTGGAGGCGGTGCATGGAGGCGGGACAAGGGTGGCGCTTGCTGCAGAGTATGGGTGGGGCCTGTAAGGGGGCCCTTGATTTATTTTTCCCGGGGGCCCTGAGGATTCTCAGTCCGCCCCTGCTCTGTTGTCATGGCACCCAGCGTGACCGCACAGCGTGCACACCTCAACGGCTGGTCCTGCTGACACACACTGATGTTGCTACTTAGAAATCCCTCAATATTAATACAGACATCAGAGTAAACACCAATAAACTGTGGAAACAGAGCTGATCCCGCCCAAAATTTATAAAGATTTGCTTACTGGATTTGTTGTAAGATTAAATCATGCCTCCTCCTCTCTCTCTCCCATGCGCTGCTCTGTAGGCTGGGAGGAAGTGAAGAGTAATCACAATCTCCCAGCACAGTGGCACCTGTGGCTGCATGGGGAACAGCTGTATTTGCCGCCCCCCATGTGACATCACAATGCCCCACCTATATGAGCTGCCATACGAACTAACCCCAGTGCTGCACACAGTGTGTGTACATTTGAAAAGCCTGCAGGGACCGGCTGTAGACACCAGAACCACTTCATTAAGCTGCAGTCGTTCTGGGGACTATAGTGTCCCTTTATTGTGAGGTAAATTATAGATTAGTGTCACTAATAATACACTAGATTGCCTACTTACAACCAGATGAGGATGATGATGGACTGCAGTTTGGCTCCACTGGTCTGGTGTAGAACAGGATCTCTGGAGGCTGTTTGCAACTGTGGTCACAAAATTCAATGTTCTGGGAGAATTGGAAGCAGCTCCATTTTTTGGGGTCCCTTACACAGCTCAAGGTCTGGGCCCCAGGGCCTGACAGTGAGTATGCCCACAAGGCCCACTCATAAGTCCACTGATATGTTCCACCCACCCATGAGTTGACTCACAGGGAGTGGAGTGTGTAGGGGATGTGTTATGTGTTATTGTAGAGGATCTAATATGTGTGCTTATGGTAGTGTATAGGGATACCAGTTTGTGCAGGTGATGCCGTGTGTTTGTGTGTAGTGGAAGCAGTGTGTATTTGTGTATAAGGCATGTATTGTGTTTTTCTGGTTTTGTGTTTAAGGGATACATTGCGTGAATCTGTGTTTGTATGCATAAGGGATGCAAGGTGTGTGTCTGTAAGTGTGTGCATTGAGTGTGTGTAAGAGATGCATTGTGTTTCTGTGTGTATGTAAGAAAAGCAGTGTGTGTTTGCATGTGTGTGTAAGGGTTTGCATTGTGTGTTTCTGTGTATGTGTGCAAAGGATGCATTGTCTTTGTTTGTAAGGGTTGCATTGTGTGTGTGTAATGGATGCATTGTGTGTTTCTCTGTGTGTAAGGGAAGCATGTTGTGTTTCTGTGTGTGTAGGGATGCATTGTGTGTTTTTGTGTATGTATAGGGATGCATTGTGTGTGTGTGTGCTCGTAGTGTGAAAGAGCTCCCTGTCTTGCCCTCTGTCCTATAGAGCTGTCCCTTCTGTCCCTTAGAGCTCTCCCCTCCCCT